CTTGCAATTGTAAAATCCAATTCATCATTGTACGATTTGTACAACTTTTCATTGATTTTGTTGATGATATTCCTGTTGAGTCAGTATAAATGTGTATTTGTTGTGTTCCAATATAGTGTCTCCATTTTTCTAGGAATACATATATCACATATAATTCTCTTTGTGTACTAGGCCAACAGCGTTGTGATTCGTTTAGTCCTACTAAGCCTATTTCTATTATGCATCTACCTGATTTAATTAGTTTGGAATAGTCTTTAAGTTCTTCTTTGAGTATCTCTTGTTTAGATACTTTTTTATAATGTTGTCATTCAAAATCTTCTTGATACAAGATTGTAGCTATGGCTTCTTGTGAAGCATCATATTCCATAAAGAATGATTGTTTTGGATCTGGAAATGATAGAGCTAATTCTCTTTTCATTTCTTCTTTAAGTCATTCAAATGCTTTTGTGCATTTATCATCTCATTGAAACTCTTTGTTTCCTGTTAGTTTATAAAGTGGATCTGCTATTTTCCCAAAGTCATAAATGTATGGTCTAAAGTAGTTCATAAATCCTAAGAATTGTTGTACTTCTTTTTTAGAAGTTGGAGTCTTGAATTTATCTACTTCTTTACTTTTTAAAGCATTTTTCCATATCTTTTCATATTCTACTTCATGATTGAGTATTGTTGTTTTGTTGACACAGAACTCGCATTTAGAGGGTTTAAGTTTCAGGCCTCCTTTTTCAAGCTCTATTAACGTCCTCGTTAATCTATCTCTCATTTGTTCAATAGAGTTCGCAACAATAGTCAAATTATCCATATAGAGTAGAATCTAATCAAATTTAGACAGTAATTTATTTACTACAGCTATTAAGTATGCAGGTGCAGTACTAATTTCAAAGGGTAGATTATTCCATTCATAAGTGCCGTATTTTCCAAATATACTAGCAATATATTTTCTGCTATTTTCATGCATAAGGAGTTGCCAATATGCCGATTTTAAATTCATTGTTGTATATATTTTATGTGCAGCTATTTTCTGCAGCATCTGATATATATTAGGTAAAGGTTGTTTAAATTGCCATAAATATTTATTTAGGCCTCTATAGTCTATGGCTATTTTTTTCATGCCGTCTTTTTTGGTTATAACTAAGACATTTGCACCCCATTCAGATTGTGCTAGGTAAACAATTTTATTTTTTACCAAGTCATATAATAGGTTTTTTATAACTTTAAGTTCTTCTTCAGAGTATTTTCTAATTTGCTGACATTTATCTCTTTCAGGTATTTCAGCTTCTGGTGTTTTTAACTTTAATTCTATTTTCAGAATTACTTCAGGTTTTATACTAGTCCCTGGTTCAGGTTTTTCTCTAAAACAGTCGATATATTTTTCTAATATATTGCCTAACTGTCTCCATATTTCAGGTCCACAATTTTTCTTCAAGATTTCAATTCATTTTTTTAACAGCTTCTTTCTTATTTGTCTAATTTATTTCTTTTTTCTTCAGAATCTCAATTTCATTAAGAAAAAATTTTGGTGACTTTTCTAGTATTTCAACATTTCCAATATGTTGATCTTTGCTTATTTGGACTTCGTTTTCTGAGTAGTTTGCTATTAGTATATAGTCTCCATTTGCTATCCCTGGTTGAATAGCTATTTTTTTTTTAGCTAAATATTCTGGGGTTCCTATATATCCATTTTTTATGAGTTTTCTTATTTTTACTGATAATATTGTATACTTTGGTAATACAATATTCTGTGCACTATATATCTGATCATCCTTTTTTGCATCTAATAATACTGTAGGTATTATTTTCTTTCTTTTAATAGGGTGTATGTGGTTTAATCGTATATGAAGATTGTTATTTTTTATATGTTCTTGTACTTCTTCATCCATTTCTTCTAGAAATTCTTGTTGTTCTTTAGTTAAGCTCTCGTTATTACTTTCATCAGCTGGTGCTCTTATTCCTTCATTCCTTGAAGTTTGTGGTGGTTGATTTTCAGTATAAACTTCAAGCGGTTGATTCCATGCTGGTGTTAAATACGTTGTGTAGGGTCAGCCTTTAAAGGAAGATTGTATTTGTATTTGTTGGGATTCTGAATTATTTTCTTGATTGTCTTGATTGAATGCTCTTTCAATATTTTGAGATATTTCCTGTTCATCTTCTTCATTTTCAAAATTTGTTACTGATGGTGTATACATTTTTTGATTTTTATGCCATGATGCTGGTGATGAAGTATTACTTCTATCTATAGGTCTTTTGGGATTTCTTGTTTGTTGATTATTTTGAATTGGTGTTGGTAATAATATATCAGGAGTATTTGTAAGGTCTACAGAGTTTCTTAAGCTTGATGGTCTTTTGGGGCTATGAGTATGTTGTTGAATATTTTGTTTTGAGGATCCTGATCCTCCAAACATTTGTTTCCATCCTCCTGTGGGGGATAAAGGTCTTAATCTTTTAGTTATTGAGGGCATCCACCTTTTTCTTTCAGAAGCATCGCTATCAATTGATTTATCAGATTCTGTTGGTAATTTTGGTGGTGATCTTGGAGATCCTGGATATTGATATTCTTCTCGATATCCTGTTTTAGGTAGTTCTAATCTTGGAGGTAGTGGTTTAGTTCGTATTTGTAATTGATTTTTTGATAATTGTGTTTCAATATTTTCTTCAATTATCATTTGGCCTTTTGTTTCTAATTGTGTTGTAAGCAAGTCTCTGTACTTATTTTGTATTGCTTTTCTGGCTTCTTCGTTTTGTGCATTGTTTGCTCCTAGTAGTAATTCATTTAATACTTCTCTTTGGTCCCATTCTGGCATTGCTTTGAATTGATCACTTGTAATAGTGATTGCTGGATTAGTATCTCTTTCATATTCTTCGAGCATGTCATTAATAGCTCCTCTTAATGCAAATATAGATGCATCATTTTTATTTGATATTTCATTTAGAAAATCAAATATATATTC